CCCCCAAAACCCCAAAACCCCAAAACCCCGTCATTAAGATCTTGTGTTGAACCAAATATGTATCAGCCATCTTGATTTGACACATCCTTAGTTACGCTGTTCAAAGTGCAGAAGGTTTTATATACTCATAGGGGCAAACAACTCTCTCAAAGTATGAATTTTCGCTTGATTCCATAACCAAACTAGCATCTAGTTTTCGAAAATACAGGAGTTTGTTGCTCCAAATTTATCAAAATTTGATGTAAAAATTATTTGATCTTGGAATTGCCCAAGTGAGAGGCTGTCTGTAAGTCTCTGAGCTGGCCTCATCAAATACTGTTTTATCATGAATCTTCTCCTATTCCTAGATGAAAATATTGGTTTAAGGCAAACTTTCTTTATCAATGCAGTAAAAGCGGACCAGCGCTACAAACCAACCATTTCTTATTGAAAAATATATTAGAGCCGCGATATTCTGAAGTTACTTTAAAGCCTAAGCTACAGGAGTAGCATTGGAAAGCCTTGAGAGGCTCGGTAATTTCTGAAGGAAAGTTTTTGGCAAGATTATATCGGCTGGCAACTCAAGGAAATGAGTCTGAAGTGCTTTATAAGAACTCTCAGCCAAGAATACGCTTCAATTCGAACTAATCAGCTCAGCTTCCACATTACCTTTCATAGTTCAGCATTTATTGTGCTGATATATCTCTTAACAATCTTTGTTCTGGAACTTTGCTTGACATAATTGGGGTAATTCTGAAAGGCGCAATACTATATGCTACCAATCTAAGAATAACCTCCATAGCTTTTGTAGATCCTCCAATAGCTATTAATGCCTGGTTGTGTGACTAGCTGATAAAAAGGATCAAACTCAACTCCTTCTAGATCTGTTGTAAGCAAGTTTGCTTCAGATTTAAAAGCCTGCCTTAAGTCTAAAAATAGTTTTGTGAAGTCTATTGGCTCTTTCCATAAGCATTATCAGACACCACTCATCGTTACAGAGGTAGTAAGAGCTGTATGTGTCTGAGTTATCACTCTACCTAGCTTTTAATGTCCTTTCGAACTTCACTAGATGAAGACCAAAAGTGTCAAGTATAGAGAGCAGTGTCCAACTAAATTTATTTTGTTCTTCCAACCTTCAGACATAAATTAAGGCATATCTGTTTTGTGAAACTAAATTTCAGCTAGAGTCCAGCTCAACTAAATCTATTGCATTTAGTTAGCTGATATGAATTCCTAATCTTTTGTTGCATACCAAAATGTTCGATTGCTAGCCAGTTGTATTCTTGAGCTTCATAGGCTTTGTTTCTAAAGCCCCAACTGTCAAGCTAGCAATCAAACAGCTTCAAGCATAAAACTCCAAAGGCTGGGTAAAGAAAGCCAATCTATTGAGTTTCCATTTCTTGCTGAATTTTCTGAACTACTGGCTTGCCTCAAAGAGCAGCCTTCTGATGCTTTATTCATTTTGGAGATATTGCTGAGGCAAATAACTCAGAGAATTCTCAAAACTTATTTCTTTGAATAAAAATATTTTGAACTGTGGCAATACTTATTGTTTTTATCGAGGTTTGACCCTAAAGAATCTTCTTGGCCATTAGAATTTGGACTAGGATGCAAGTGTCCATGTGCTCGATTTATTGGGTAGGCCTGCAGGAAGGATACTAATGCACTGGTGAACCTTGAGTGCACAATCTGAGCCTTAACACAAGTAATGAATAAAATTCAGCGTTCCTCCATATTTTATTAACTTAAATGCGATGTTCACCACCTATCCATCCTGTGTCTTCAGAGCTGGCTTTACAGATAGCAATAAAAGTGATCCCGGATAGTAAAAATGATTCAGAGCCATGCCCGAGAGTCTCGATTATAATTGATCGCAAGTTTTGATAATATGCCACCGGTGTCTTAATGATGCTGATTAGATGCTGGGCCTAACAACTTTGCTAAATTTATGATTAAGTCTAAACTTCGCTGAATGAATTATCAGCAAAGGCTAACTGAAAGAGCTATGTGTTTGATGATGCATGCCAAAGATACGAGAAAAATTGATTAGCAATGGCGGGTCTATCGTCTAGACTCGCGTAAGCATAGGAGTCCATCCAAAGTATCTTTTAACTGTGACAATAAAACAGGAAGCAAATTCAGCAATAATTTTAAAGCTGTACTATTATTGTCAAAAATGAGTTTGCATATCCAAGATTGGCAACACCGTCCCAATTTGTACATCAATGTGCTTGATTCAACTGTCTAATAAAGAGGGCGAGTCTATGATCGATATTGTGCTCACCTACTTCAGATGATTAAATACTAGTAATTGAGTTTGAACAATGAAGTATTTTAGAGCAAGTATTCGCAAAAAGGGTTAGAACAAGAAACCTCTGATGCTTAAACTTTCTGTCTTATCTTGAACTAAGCTTAAGATCTCATTGACAAAATGTTTGAGGTTCTCTCAATTGCTGAAGATAAGCCAGGTCTGAAATTTTTGAGAAATCGTATCTCAAATTCTAAGAATACGTCCTGAGTTTAGAATTGAGGAGCCATTGAAATATGAACGAATATGCCCATATTCTAATTTTAAATACTCCTTGGTGAGCATCTACAATACTAAAAGGTTGAGCCTTGTCATGTCAATGCCTGAGAGACAGGCTGGGACCTAACTCTACCACCTTAACAGCTATTATAATGTAGAGTATTCTAAATTGTGTAAGGCATTATTATTAAAGAATTGTGATAAACAGAGCTGCATGAGGGTTGGGATATTAGAGTGTTCATATAAAGCAGGCTAGGCCAGGCTTAAACTCGTCTGCTTTAACCTACCATCTTGTGACTCCACTTTTCAAGAGCAATTAGTATTGCCATATTGGAACTTAAGGGCTATAGAAGCACAAAAATGAACTTCAAAGTTTCTGAGTTTAATTACTTGCTCAAAAGTAATAAATTGCTGCCCGGCTTGAGAAAATAATAGGGTTATAAATTTGGCTTATGAATCCCTGATAGATTTTTCTATTTCTGACATGACTTATTATGAATATTCAGAAGCTCTTATTTAGGCTAAGGAGACATTTGAGTCACCACAAAGTTCAAAATCTCTGAAGCTCTATCTTTGCAAAAAAACCGATAATGGCAACAAGTTCTTAAAAAATATGCAAAAGGATTTAGCAAACAAATTAGTGATAAACTTGGAATCAACTGTCAAGTTCTTCACCTAGAAATCTCGAGGTGTTGGCTACAATCTCAGCATGGAGGTCTTATAATATCCCTGAAAGATCCCTATTCTCACTCTAATAGCACAACATTGCATATACCGAAATCAGCCATATTAGTTGACTCTGGAACTTAACAGCAATCAAAATCGTAATTTTCTGCTCTGAAGAATACATCGAGCATTTGGTGGAACAATAAAGCAAATATTATAACTAGGACTTGTGAAATATTAATTTGCCTAGTTTCGAGTTCCAAAGTCTTAGAGAACTTGAATTTTTGAGCTATTAGAGTAAGTCTACTTATCCAAAACAAGTCCTTCCTTCATCTTCGCGTTGGAGTCAAACAGACTTAGTTGCTGCTCAGATGGTTCGAGGTAACAAATAATCAAGTTCTGCCATGAAGATTTTTTGCTAAGAGAAATTGGCCTACCGAGTATTTAAACTGGGCCTAAGTTTTTTTAGAATTTTTATTAATTTGATGCAAAGACGATTTCATTTGCAAACTGTGAACCTAAGTTAGCACTAGCAGTGCCTGGAGTTATACAGGTACTTCACTATCAACCTGGTCAACTACAGAAGCTGAGTGCATGAAAACGGATCAGAGCAACCTCTCTGCTCATTAGAAGCATAGAACTTGGTCTTCTTGTGTTTCTTGCCGAAAGCCAATAACTAAGTTTGTATTTCAGACTTATTTAATAATCTGAACAAACGAAAAGTATGAAAAATTTATTCCATTTCCAATTGTAGACGAGAACCCCGCAAGCTAGCCAATTACTTGAGAAATACTGGCAGCCATTGCTGAAACACTTGGTATGAAATTTTAGACCACTTTTTTTGGCTGCACAGCCCAGTCTAGAACAAAATATAACGATTTCAGCGCTGAAGAATTTTAGGATAAGCCTTTAATTTTGCAAAATCCTTAAATACCGAGTTAAGTCTCACCTTGCTTTCAGCTTCACTAGGTAAGCAATAAAAATCATCAATTGTATAACTCTTCGATTAAGTCTGATTCCTGGATATTTAGAATAAAAGAGGACAAAGAACAACCAAAATGGTGTAGAATATTATGACCAGATTAAGATTCAAGACTAAGAGCAAAACAATGAGCAGCATAAAGGCTTATAATGACACTTCACCCTCATCGAGGAGTCTTGGCTAAGGGTCACTTGGTCACTAAGAAAGCTACATATATGTTTAGAATTTGGATGGCCAGCCTCATGGTCAACTCAATAAGCGATTTATTAATTCAGGCAAGGTTAGAAAATTTATTCTCAACTGTTTTTAAAGCTATGCATATTTCGTTCTGAAGAACTAACAACAAGACGATAGAGTTATAACATTGAGGATGAGAAGATTTCAGTGGAAGTTTAAGTATTGAATAGAAGAGGATTTGTAAACTCCAAGCACAAGTACATCTAGGGTTAAACATTAAAGCAATGACGTCAACCTTCTAAATTGACCTATCAAGCTTGGCTTTAGAAGTCTCCACTCCATAGAGAATTTATCGAAGAGTTTTTCACCAATAAAATCATACTATTGGAAATAATACTTGATACTATAAAGAGGGGGAAATCTGAAAATTACTGAATTTAAGAAATGTTTCAGGGTAAATTTATGATGAATTAATAAGCTTGGAATGGAACCTGGCTGGCTCAAACACTCCTCTGTTTAAGTTGAAGCTCTCCACCATTTCAAGGATGTCTTCGGCCTTCCAAGCAAAGTTGGTAGGTGCTTTGTCGCTATGCAGCATCATTGAGTAAAAATCGAAGGTGATTGCTGCATCCAGCTCGAGTGGAAACGAACCTACGTAAGTCTTCTTGCCTCCGATCACTATAAGAGTCTGATAGTTGATTGAGTTCTTGGTTACTCCGGTGTACTTGGACCTTCTCTTGCTCACTTTCTTGCTCTTACACAGGTTGGCCTTCTTCTTGGCTGTGGCAAATGCAAGGCCAGTTCCCAGCAATGGGTACAGCTTAGCCTTCAGCTTCTGTTGGTGCTTCGAGAAGTCGTATGTGTGAATAGTTTTGACTTGTTTTTGACAAATGTAAGGCACTCTTCCGATTGCTGGAACAGCTGAGTACTGGCTTTGGTTGAGCTGAGAAAGTGACAGTTGAGGCTCCCATCCAGTCCTCCACTGAAGCTGCTCTTGCTGAAACATTGGTTGTAACAACTGATGTTGTTTTAACTTAACAGAGACGTCGCAAAGGCAGAAATCGTTAAATATATTGATCATTGAGTAAATTTAATTATGATAGAAATCCTCTATATTTATAGTTTCTCCTGGGGTTTTGGGGTTTTGGGGTTTTGGGG